AGCCCACTCTACTTGACGATTGGCTATAGTAACGCCAGTTGAGTAGGTTCCGTGATTTTCTGCTGCATAATTGACCAGGGTACCCCACCCACAGCCGATGTCTAAATGCCGCTCGCCTTCTTTCAACTGACACTTTTCGCACACGCTCTTCAGCTTGTTCACCTGCATATCTTCGAGATTTTCCGTTTCATCTCTACATATTCCTGATGTGTAAATCATTATGGGACCAAGAAATCCGTGATAAAAGTCATTGCCACGGTCATAGTGATCACAAACTTGTTCGGCGTCTTGATTCCTTGAATGAAAAATCACTTCAGGAATAAAATTACAGAGCAAAAACTTGATATGTTCAAATGTCAGTTCGTAGGTACAGAATTGGTGACGGTTTTCTAAAGCTTCTAGCACATCACATTTGAAGTCTAGCTTGCCATCAGCGTAAGCCTCGTAAAGGACTATCATTGGTATTTTTCGATTGGCGTATTTTGAAGCGAGAACCTGGTCTGTGAATTCAATGAACCGTTTGACATTCGTTGATTTCGTACCGCTTTCAGCGACACACATTCGGTTGAATGCCACCATGAAGACACCAAATACTGGCAGAAACAAGACGGCGAAGGTTAGTGGATAGCACCAATAAGGCAAACCCAAACTATACTGTACCAGGGCCGGAGTGACAAAGAGAAGGCCGAACAATGCTTTGTATGAAATTTTGTGCCACGCCAGTTGATCAACTCCATTTAGCTTTTTCCCCGTCGCAAAGCCATTTGCTTTCGGTCCACCGTTTCGAATTCTCTCCATTTTGATGTAAAGCCAAATATTCTCTTCACCGGCCGGCAAACAAAACTAGGCAACTTATACCCGGCGAAACTTTCAGCGGATTATGGAGTAGTCTTCTGATGCCGATAACATTGAGTGAACTTCACCCAGCTGCGCCTGCCTGCAAAATTTATCAACAGTACACGTGTCGTAAGCGATCACGTGATCATGTTGAGACGGCACTGGGAAAACCCGAGGATCGTCTGGTGATCCGTCCACGAAGTAAATCGAATCTACTTTACTTTTCTGTTAATCTATCAGTCTCGCATTGTTGCCCTCGATTTCGCTTTGATTACGAGCGCATTAAGACATTTTCTCAGCCGCGAAAAGAGTCCAGCTAAAAAACAATGGATTTATTTCTAACAAAGACGGTTGAAGCGACTTCTGAGTCGTCTTGAGAAACGGTACAAAATTGACTTAAGGTGACGTAATCGCGTTCCCCTTATTTGTTTTATCTCCTTATTGTTTAAGTTTTCTGTTTATGTTGGGAAAGTTATGTTATATAAACAGTGAATAATTAACCCCGCGAAGCTGTGCTACGCATTCACGTGGAACGCAGGGACATGTTACAAATTTCACTGAATTTAAATGGTTTCCTTTTAGCCCTTTCCTTCCTTAAATTTTCGATTGAGTGTTTTTTCCTGAGATCGAAAATACAAATCAAGGATTCCTATTGGTCTAGTCAATCTCGCTGACTCTGGTTTCCAGAATTTACCAAAGCGACCAAGATCACAGTCACCAAGGTGGAGAACTGTTCACGCAACAATGAATGTCTACTGGGAAAAACTTTTTAAAAAGGCCGCAACATGCATATTTCGGTAGCAGAGCTGAAATTTACATGATAAAGTTTTTCCGAATCATTACACACCAAACATTTTTTTTAGCTACTTCACGTCACGTACGTTTGCGTCGCTAGTTTTCCTCCGGTTATTTAAGTCGAAAGAAACAACAACTCCATTTGGGTGCGAAATCTTTCGTTTGAAAATAACTCTTTTTGTTCTCCAACTGAGTGAGGGTTTCTGTTACTCGGAGATTGTGTAACTCGTATTTCCTGACGCTTATTTATACCGCGTCAGATAAAAGGGCAGCTAATTAGGGAGCGTATAAAAGGATCTCTTGTTGCAGCGTTTAGATCACCCCAGATGAAGGCAATAGACAGAAGAGTCGAAACGTTGGGTCTATGAATGTAACTTCTCGGTTAAATTCCTTAAATCTTTATACCAGAGTAGCATCAAACCATGTCTGATTGTCCACCTGGTTGCCATGTGAACTTTAATACACTTCGGAAATAGCCTATTTAATTACAACCATGCTAAAACCTAAGTTTATTATTCTCTGACAGAAAATATTCATATGAACAAAGGGCAATAAAGATTCGTCCCTCTGGTAAGGAGCGGACCTACCGGCCGTGCATTGGGTTAATATGGGCCATAAAATGAAGTAACAACCTGATCCAATATTTGTTAAGAATCAAAGTCGCCAAGCAAACTAGATTTCGCATCATGTAGAGTTAAGAACTGGACTGAACTTTAAAGCTGATTTACGTAACTCCTCCGTGAATCTTTTGACCCTAGGAGTGACTGGTATCAAATTTCTCTTTCCGATATCACCTCCTGATCACACATTAAGGTCACGAGTATATCAGAAATGGTCACCAACTCAAGAAGCTCTTGATGGTTAAAAAAATTTCTTTTTGTCAGCACCTAAGGAAATGTATAGAGAACAGTATAGAGAATATGCATACAAAAGGTTAACACAACTTACTCAGCCCTCAAGGAATCAACCACAGGAAAAGAAACGGGAATGGGTCAATGTTAAGCCTTTTCAGAAGAGAGACACGCCCCCTTAAAATGCTTGCTTTGCTTTATTTGCTTCATTAGAGTCCTTTGTGAACATCACTTACGCTCGAGGAGCTAACTACAAACTCCAACTAACCCACAAGACTCTTGAACACCTCACATGAGGCGACAGCCACAGTCTTGAAGAGATGGTAAAATCGGCGTGGGTAAGTGAATCATGCGTCTGGAGAGTTGATGGCTCATGTTGGTGGATTATTTTAAACCTGCCTACTCACATGTTTCATAATCAAACACAATTGACAACCCTCGAGCCACCTACCCTCATGTGAACAGCTGGATACTCAGTGAATACTTTGGTCTCCACGATAAGAGTTGGGATGATTCAAACATACGGATTCTCCCTTAAGCATGAACTCCAAATTACACGGATGTCGCGGTATTTTTATTGGTATTATCAGCTGAGTCGATAACGTAAATTGGCCATCGTAAAGAGTTTTAAAGCTGACGTTTCGAGCGTTTCGTCATACTGGGTGTCAGTTGGCTTCTTCGAATTGAACAAAAGGCGAGAATACTTCGTATTGTTAAATATTTTCGCAGGAACTTAATTTCACGAAAATGGAACGGGTATACTTCGCTTCGGCCAAATAAAAATCTTAAAAGGACCCACATTTCGCGAGTATTGTCGAAATACTGATCTGCATCAACAAATAAGAAGTCTCAGATTTGCACAACTGATTTTCAATTTCCATAACAATACTGTAGTTTCCAATGACATTATAACAAAACGAAACTGCAAACAGTTTGACTTCGTCCTTTGCAACAAGCAGAGTTATACAAGAGCGCATGAAATTGCCTCAGGAACTCCTTTCTCTCCTATCTTTGGCAGCGTAACACTTTCCCTCACTGCGAAAATCGTTAAATATAAGTCTCGCGAAAGGAAGTAACAAAAAGATATTACTTCATCGTAACCTTACCCGAAAACTATTGCGGACACAAAGTGCTAATTTTAGTTAAGCAACGTTTAGCCTTTTTTTTATCAAACCCGCGTCTTAAACAGTCCTCGATTAGTTGGACCTTTATCTGACCTTATCTGAACATTCAGTTTTAAACTCAACCCCGTCTTATAGAGAAAGCCCGAGGCCCCCAGGTTGCGTAAAACCGTAGTTTGGGTTAGCCTTCGTGTAAATAACCAGCCCACATTTCAGTTTCCCGAAGCCTTCTTGCGATTGGCAAATTAGCAATAACATTATTTTCAACTTTGATAGAAAATGAAATGAAATCCTGAATGGTTCGCTCAATGTTTTGAACGAATTTCATTTCCCATGTTCTGTCTGATCTGTTCCATTCGCTCAGTTTCAAAACAGCCGTATGAGGTAAAGCGAGGAAAAAGGCAGGGTATTAGGTAAAGAAGAGCCATCCAAGTTATATTTAGCATCGTGGTAAACTACTACTCGTATGGTAAGTTAAGATGGGCGTGAAGGAAATCCGGCCGTGAGGAATAACCTCCCTTTACACTCCTACTCCAGCCGAATTATTCAAGTTGCTCAATGTGGTAACCCCCCGGCCATCAAGCATCAGTAACCTGTCACGTTCTCTTTCATTGTTCATTGAACCAAAAAGGTGAGAAACTCCTTATTTCAAAATACAAAAGCCCCTCATCCCTCTTACTACTAAATATCCTTGGCTCCTTACTCCACCTCCCCATACACAATGACTGATCTCTAAATTCCCGTGAGTAAACTCACAGGCAGCGTGGGAGGTATTCCAATAAAGTGAAGGGCAGTACAATGAACTATATGGAGTTCCGCTCTCCGGCTTGGCTTAATCTACGTATTATAGGATCAAGAGTCAACGAAACTCGTTTTTGTACTAGTGGTTAGATTCTCTACTTATTCTGTTGCAGCAGGTGTTTTATTGGCAGCAAATGACGATCAACAGATCGACTGGTGTTGTAGCGCAAGTGTGACGTTTGCCTGCCTCCATAACAACAACACCAGTTTGTATTCCTCGGTGACCAAAGTTCACCTGCGTACATGAACGGGAACGATGAAATGTTTAAATAAAATTTAAAGGATTCTCGCATCACAAAGTAATCATCACCCGACATAAATGTGAGGATCAACACTGCAAAATATGCATCAATATCAATCTGCGCAACTGCGCACCTACCCCTCTCCTGGCCCAACAACGGCCAACTGATCACGAATTAGTATTAATGTTGGGTCTAGGGAGGGGTAGGTACGCTGTTGCTTAGATACTGACACTGATCCTAAAATATTGTGGGAGGTAGTGGAAGGTTACAACCTTGCACTATACCCCTAATTCCCAGGTCCTTCTCTATAAAGTTTTGCAATCATTCGTGAGTGAAACACAATTGTTCTTCTGTAAGCAGCTTTTAATGAGGTTTCCGTGCTGTAATTAATTTACTTTCAGCTCAGGTCTCTTTGGAAAAAGCATGATATTTACATTAGAACGAAATAACAAGCAAAGCTATATACAAACTGTATAAACGAACTGTATAAACAAATTTTCACTGATCAAGATGAACGTGGCTGTAAGGTGAAAATTCTCCTGTTGGGGAAAAAAGTGGATTATTGTATTGAAATCCATTTCGACGAAAATTCTTAAAACGCAAAGGCAAACTTCATATCTCGACATTGAGTCTAAAAATTACACTGTTACGAACGAGAGAGTGATGAAATGACAGCATGCCATTTTGCTAAGTAACTGTGATGATATCAAAGCCCGCGGGCTCAGTGTAGAAAGTCGAAATTAGCGCTACAGATGATCAGCTGGTTTGCGGCAGAACGGACAGCAATTTTTCTGTAAAACCAAAAGCTCGTAATCGTCTGTGTGGAATAACTGAAAAAGATTGGAAGAAAACATTAATTGGGAGTGTCTATAGACTACTTTGGCCAACTTAGTCCGGCGAGCATTTATTCAAGCCGGTGAGGATGAGGAACTAGTCACTATTTATTGACGGGGGGGAAAGGAATTCAGAAGATTTTGGGGATGGCATGGTTTTCATAGGGAGATTTACCACTCGTAATTTATCACTCGACCCGCTGCACTAAAATGAACAAAAACCCGACGTAGAAAACTCTGACTTACCCGATTACACGACGAACAAAGTGTAATAGAGACATCGGGGAGAAGTGATCGGTAATATTGGTATTTTAGAGGACTAGGCCACTTCTTTATGAGCACCTCGCGGCTGTTCATGGCCTGTAAAGTTGAGCGACCTACGCGGACTGGGACGAACTCAGATCCACCTTGCTGTGGGCGGTAACAATTTTAAGTAGACATAAATTTTCTTTACAGACAGATGGTATACAGTTACAAAATAGTGAAAGGAAATTCTGAAGAGCAAGAGAAGCTTTCAGAATTTTAGGTGAAAAGAGATGATTATCAAAGAAAACCTACCATTACTGCATTGATAAATTACTCCAAAATAACAGGAAGTTGCAATTGTTTCTATTTCTAAGAAAATGAAATTGAATAGGACCAAAATAACTGAAGAAAGAAGTGAGCATGTGAATTTCCTCAGACCTTAATTTTCTTCAAGAAATTAAACTAGTTTCCTGTATGTATACTTTCCATTCTTTTGTCTAAATTTGTGAAGTTTTCTAGGTTAGCCATCAATTGGAAAAAAGTCATTACAATGAAATTTTCACCAGATGGTCGACAAAAACAATTGAGACGGCCTTCCTTAATTCTCCTCTCAAGATATTTGCATGATAAATGATAAAAGATAGTTTCAGGATCACAAAAGGCCGCTCAGCTTGCCCAACTTGCAGCAGACAATTCAGACAAAATCTGATTCATTGGAGCCATAAATTTAGTAACATATAGTTGGGAAAATTGTGTGATTTAATGAATCAACATAGCAAAGCTTGGCGTCTACTTTTCGTCAAGTGCCCCGGCACATTTCGTCCAAGTGAATCAATAAAATGAATATTCACGGCCCTTTTCCATAGAGATATAAATAGAATCGCAGCGATTTCGCCTTATTTACATTTATTACATTTTTTCTTCCGTATTGGGGCAACAATAAGCCGGGCGTTTAGTCGGGCTACTGAGACACTTCACACAGGTTGTTGCATTCCCAGCCAGTGTATCCTCTGCTGAACAGCTATCCAGTTTTATTTGCTCAATGAAAAAAATTTCCTTTTCCAGAAAAAATGAAAACTTTTGCGAATTCCAGGTCTATCCTGTCATAGATATAAATTATTTAAGTTCAAAATACGGTTTTTAACAACGCATGACTTCCTCGATAACAGCTGCTTATATATTTTTACTTTTTCTTTCATCACGGAAGAATTTTTTATGCTCCTATCTTCACTGGAGGAGAGTTTTTTCCATTTTCCCCTCGTTATTCCGAGTAATTAAATTCATAAACGACCAAAAATTATGAGGTTGCAGTAAATACATTAAACTATATGAAAAAGGGAAGAGGTAAACACACAATGGGGTCGCTTACACGCGGAAAATAATCCGCGGCTTTCAATACCATTAGACGCGAACTCATCGTATTAACGATACATTTATACTTTTACACGCCGCGACAAGAAGAAATCTTTGAGCGCGTTTCAAATGGACTGCAGCAAAATCACTTGTTTAAATGGCATCGCGGCTTACGTATGACGCGAACTTACATTGCGCAAGCACAATTTTTTCTCGCGCTTGTGGTCGCGCTTGTGCGTTCCTCTCGTGCTCGCAACCGGTCGCACAACTCAAATCTCAGATGAAAACATCTGCTCACCTCAAAACTCATCAGCTTAGCTGTAAACGGATCCTCTTCTTCCTCTTCGGGGGTTTCATCTGTGAACTGCAGGGACTGAAAGTCTGGTTTGTTGTCAAGGAAATGTTTCAAAGCAAGAATTGAGAGCAGTGTTTACCTATTCATTACTCAGGATTTGGTGAATAAAGAAACAAAACCTCTGGCTGAGTACAGCCTGAAAAATCAAAAGTATAGTGCGGTGCAAAATTGATATTTTAGAATTCTATTATTAGACAAATAAGGACTATGTGAGGTTTGATATGGAAGGAATTTCATCGTTAGTAATTTGGGTCTTTCCCTTTACACCCTAACATCAGTATCCAGATTCTCCATTCTGTTCTCTATAAATTTCCTTTGATAATGACAAGAAGAATTTGTTTAACCATTATAGTTTCTTAGGTTGGCGATCATTTCCTTTATTCTCATGACCTTAACATTTGATTCAAGGATGGTACTTTAAGGAGAAATTGGAAACCAATCACTCTTAGGGTTTAATGCGCTAAGATTACAGGGATTAGAAAATCATCTCTACTACAGTGCAAAGGATACCTCCCATATCTCTTTCCTGCCAGTTTGAGCGCTTCTTTTCTTTGCTCTTGGGTGGTTCCGCCTCGATCAGTTTCAAAGCATCCTCATTACTTCGAAAAAACCAAAAAAAAAAATTAAAAAAAAACCCACACTGAGAGACCACAGTCCATTTGAAACGTTGAGTGGGGAAGGAGAACAACAAATCTGCACACAGTTTCTTATGCTCAAATTCTCTCTTAAAGTTTCTGTTCAAAGGAATATTTTCGGAGGTTTTATGTTTTAGGACAAAATTTGGAAGGTAATATGCTTGCCGTGTTGGATTTTCGATTGCACTGTTCTCTAGCATTATTATTTTGCGCTTTCTCCAGGCTTTGTAAGTTCCTAATACCTTTGTGGCTCAGGCGGAAAAAACGCCCAACTGGTACCTGGGTGGTATCGCTCTGAGTATCATTGGAGTCTCAACTCTATGCGACTTCGGTTTCTTAACTTGCAAAATATATGAAAGGAACGATTCGTCACTGTTTATTCCACCCGCCGACTCGTATTTCGCGTGCTTGGCTACTTGCATCGCAGCGCTACACTTTTCCCCGCCAAGCCACATTACCTGATGCCATCTTCCAACACAAACTCGACCAGCGGGAGTACTTCTACAAGCAAGAGAAAAAAAAATTAGGCGTTGAATTCAATAAAAAGCATTAATTACCATGTAGCCACTCAAAATGAAACCACGTGATCAAACCTGAGGTGAGAGTTTAAGACGCAAACCCTGCATTGCACTTAATAACCCATTCATGCCTTCGTAATTAACCCATGAGGAACGGTTTGACCAAATGTGACCAACTGTTCCAGTTATAATAAGGTTAAGACTGCGAATGGACTAGTCATTAATTACCACGGGGGGGATGGCAATTTGGAGGGATCACATGGTTTTCAAGGGGGAGCGGAAGGGGATCAGTCGGTGCCAACGAGGGGGGTCCATAAAAAATTGACTGCCAATTAACTGCCACTGAGGCAGGGTGGGAAGGGGATAATAAGAATATAAAAGAGCCTATGGGGAGGTTAGGTAAATTTAATCGTGACATTACCAAAATCCTTTGACCCCCTCCCCTGGGGATAAACAATGATCGTTCCCTAATAGTACCTGGAATAAAATCTTACCGAAAGACGAAAATGAATACACAAATGGCTGCCCACAGTTGATACACTGGTTTCCTTTGTTGTTCAAAAGTGGATTCGTGGTGGAACAGCGGTAACACAGGGGAAGAAGTTCCTACAGAGGAAAATGAAAAAAAGAGGTTTTCTTCACTGGCTAAAAAACCTGATGACAATGACTGTGATTTGTGAGAAACAGGTTTTGGACAGTGTGATCATTTACCTCGTTGTCGTGGAAGGGTTTCGAGCGAATGGTTACACTTCCCAGGTCAATAGATTCTTGAAAACGCAGAGGAATCTTCAATGACTGCATAGAGAAAACAAAATAAAGCAAAAGGTGAGATAAAGCCTAGCTATATAAAGTACGTAGGGAGAATGAAAGAGAAAGAAAAAGTTTCCGCGCTCCGGGGCACTACAACTGGGCTACAGAGACTCGACATTGAGCTAAGCCGTCACTAAGTTCATATGTTTTCCCGTAAATACCTCGGAAAGTTGCCACTGGAATATAATTTGCAACTTTCTCGAACCGCTGAAGTAACTCACCTGTAGCTTGTCGTAAGCTGTACGTGCCATTTTATACGCCCCTAAATTCTTGCTTTGTTTGGCGAGCGCGAATAACGTCGAACTACACAAGAATTAAGGTCTATATTTCACTCAATAAATTTTACTGCGGATGCAACAAGTAGATTTCTCTCATATCAACGTGTACACTGCAACGAAAGACGCGTGTGTATCAAACAGTCTTAATATTTCCGTCGTTGTCGCTTTTTTTGCACAAGCGTAGATGTAATTCACATTTTGAACAGCGCTCACAAAGCAAGCTTGTTTAGTTCAACTGTTTTCTACGTCAAAGGATACACTCTTGACACTCCTGGTGGGATTTCTTTCACCAGCATATGTAGCAAATAACGAGCGATGTTGAAAAGTGTCTCTGGAAGATGGGAAGTAAATGGTTCATCCTAAAGGCAAACGAACATAATTCTGGGTTAGATTCCCTCAAGTAATTGATCACTGCGGTGTCCTTACAGGGGGCGTTTAGAGCATCAAAAATTAACAACAAAGTCTTACAGTGTATCTTTGAATAGAGTGATATAGATGATAAATCTCTGCTTTCTCCTGGTACTCGTGAAATTTGTCCAACATTTCATAATCAGGTTCACCCTGGGAATTTTCTGTGGAAATAGATAAATGGGTCAGTTAAAATAGAAGAATAATCCGTTTTCTTTTAATTTTTCTTAAAGGAAATGATTGAATCCATCATAATAGTGTTAACCTATTTCAGTCTCTGTCAGAGGGAACGGGAACAATCGAAATGTAGCCTGTTTTTACCACCTTTTCCAAGGATCGAGAGAGCCTGGTAAAAGCTAGATAAGCGGACTTACGTTGAGTGAAAATACGTTTGTTTTTAAAATACCCATTATAAATTTTCTCATTTATCTTTGGTTACATATGCTTTCCAACGACTGCATCCTAGCTAACAGTCACACTTTATTCCGCCAATCTGATTGATTGGAGAGCATTTCGAATGCATGTTGCAAAACTAAAAACCAAAGTAGTCGCAACAGAAAAAAAATACCACAAGGGGCCAATGGGACCTGATGCGCGGGAAAACGCGGGTGACCAAGTTGCGATTGGTTTTAATTCTTCTTCTGATTGGTTGGCGCGAGTTTTGGAGACCAATCGGTATTGAGCAAATGAGAGCAAGAGCGAAGCAATACTGGATCACACTCTATGTTCGATTAAAAATTGCTGGCTTGTTTGATTTTAAGGTACCTTCACCACCGACCAGGTCCAAACATTGCACTGACAGCTTCCAGAAGTAGTATCCAGCATCGTGATACCTGTGAATAGCGAGACACAAATGTCACACAACATTCTCATAGATTACATTATAGCAACAAAATGTCACTCACACACGCACCCACCAGTGCTCTACTACACTTGTGACTCAAGAGACACAAGTCACACGATACTCTGTCACGTAAACCACAAAACTAACCTGTGTTCTACGACAGCGTTGTGACACAACTGTTCCAGTACTTTGACCGCTTGATCCCTCCGCCCGGCTTTGTGGAAAGCTGAGAAATCACAACGATAGAAAAAGATTCAGCCGGTGCTTTAGTCCAATGAGCAGGCGATTGTTAAAATAATATAAACATGTTATCCACGAAAGGGCCTCTTACCTTCCTGAGCTTCATCAAATCGGTCATTTTCTGCCAACCAGTTTGCATACGGAACAAATACATCATCCTGGAAAAGGCAAAAGATAAGTACTTATACGTTTCACCATAATCATATAACTCTCTAGTTACCAAACAGACATTAACAGACTTTCATATGAACACAATAGTGCTAGTTCCTTGGAATAAGATTTACATTTGGGAGAGAACCTTACATCTCATAACATTTGCGACCTTCATAGCTTAACTGAATGGAAATATATCAAACATGAATATTAATGAAAAAAGGTACTGTGGCCTACCTTAAATTCTGGATGTTTTTCCGCAAGTTCAAACGCCTGAAAAAAAAATTACATCGAACAGAATCAGTGTTGTCAGTTAACTCGCGTAACCCAGCTCGCTACGTGTCACTTGTCCGCGCACATCAAGGATTCCAATTTGTTCATCACTCCAACTTCACGCCTTCCAGTTCACACACCATTTCACAATAATGTATTTGGAAAAGTTCCTTTGCTTTTCTTTTAAACAGGCAAAGGACACCTTAATAGAATTAATACAGCTCTGAATTTTAAGTCCTACTATGATTAGTATACAGCAGTAGATTCTGTGCTGATGCCTTACTGATGCAACAGCATTCCTCTTCCACACATAAAATTGACTGGTTTCACAAATCATAACATCAGACTTGTGAATAGCTAGTCTTCCTTTAAAAAGTGTTCCCCCAGCTGATACTTCAAAGGAACATAAACTGTTCCTGGCTGACAAGACGTCGTTGACGTAATTTTTTTCAAAAAATGGTGGAGTAACAGCTGCAACTGACTTAACGCAATTGTTTGGAGTAATAAATCGGAATCGACAGGTAACAAGAAAACAAAATTTTTACTTTTCCGTATTGTGCTTTCCGATCTGAAAGCTACAGCACGCTGATTACTTTCACAAGATATGTACTTTGTCCTACCTCATCCCAATGTTTTGTATCCACGTGAAGTTCCAACAGTGATTTGATGTCACCAATCTTCATAAACATTTCTGACGCATACCCGTGCTACATAGTACAAAAATAATTAACATTACATAGAGGAAGTGCTTTGGGGGACGACGTTGATGATAAAAAGATATTTTTCCTGCAAGTGGTTTAAAAATAGGGAAGGGGTGTGCTAATTAGCCTCAAATAACCTGATCACCCTTCCCTCACCCCTGGGCGTTTGCGAAAACGATAGTAAAGCGTAGTCTGACAGTAGGAATTCTTTAAGGGAGGGTTGGCTAAATTAGTCCAAAATAATCTGATCACCATCGCCTCACCCATGAGAGTTTGCTAAAACGGTAATAAATTTAGCACATTGGCTGCCTGTCCTCTTGCTAAAGCATGATCTAGTGACATATCTTTACAATACCTGATCCATTTGTTTGAAGAAATGAGCACACTGTCTTATTCCCTCGGTGTCTGCTTTGTTCATATTTCTTCCAAGTTCAAGTAACCTACAAAGCATAGGTGACACAAATCTGAGAAAACGCGCGTACTTTCTTTCACAGACGTATCAGTAATCACTTGTAAGACAAAACTCGACAAATAAAACCATTAAGGCTGTTCCTTAGCGAAGAATTAAAACTAACTTCTCGACCCATCCATGTTGTCCAATAATTTCAATAGCTTTGAGGTTTTCGCCAGCAGCAATAAACATGTCCCTGAAATGAGACAAAGAGAAAGAAAAATCACATCTTTCATAGAAGCTAGCACAACTGTGGCTATGTTAACTTTAGCTCTTCTCTGGAGCAGAAAATTTAACGCAAAGAACTGAAGTGGTGCTTTCCTGAAAAAAAAAAAGGCCTAAGACTTTTGAGAAGTCACCTTGAATGGTGGTTTTGAATTTGTTAAAAATAACATCATAACCTTGGAAAAAAAAAGTAATAACATTTGAACTACGAGCTCTTGTCTCTTTGACATTTACTACTGTGAGAAAATTCTACATCTTCCACATTCTGTTAAAACTCACACAGCAGCTTTGGGGTCATTTGTTGTTTCACACCACTCAGCTTGTTTCCTGATCAGCTGTTTCACATTCTTAGGATCACTGCCGCCGATGAAGTCCTTGGCATATTCAAACTGCCTTAGGTCAGTGAACATCTCCATCGCCTGGAAAGTATTAGTTAATAATCAGATCTCGAGAGTCATAAAGATAGCTAGTATAAGATTGCTTGTTACCCCTCCACTTTCAAAAGATGTATACTCGATCGTTTAACAATAAATATATAATTTAATTAAATAAAAACCTTCTCATCATGTCCAGTCTTCTTGTATAGCTTTCCAGCATCATGAAATTTTCCCTAAAATGAAAGGTTAGAGATTTCGTCAATTAAAAATATAATGTTATAAATATTGGAGAGTAAATAATATGGAAAATGGCATGACATCCACAGTACTTAATTTGGGTGAGAAGGGAAGACAGAGTCTAAGAGATGCTTCCACAAAGTTAAGATGAAAATTCACGGTTTCTTTAAGCCGTGCACTTGGATACTAGAACTGCTCAAAGCTGAAGTAGAGAGGTTTATGTTACAGGTACACATTTGGTTGGTTCTCAAATGCAACAAGCCAAACGATAAATGCACACATGACGTCGTCTTTATTAAATAAAAAATGTTTGCATGTCACCGAGGAGGTGACGCTGTAGCGATGGCAGCTGTAATACAATTATTGCCTGACGCTTGTGTTTTTCATCATGGTTATTGCCAAATCTTGACATTGTCTCTGATCCATTCTTGAGCACATACAGAGCAACATTAAAATCTTACAATCATAGAGATTAACCCTTTTAATCAATCAATCAATCAATCAAATCCTTTATTCTAAAACGTTAATTATTAGAACTGTAAAGCTTGTGGGGTCGTTTGACCCCTTAGAGTGATAAGCATCTAATTTCTCCCAACAGTTTACCCCTGAATCAAATATTAACGTCATAAGAAGAAAGGAAATGATCGCGAAATCAGGAAGCTCTTGATTGTTAGACAAATTCTCCTTGTAAGTATCAGGAAATGTAAAGAGAACAGTGTGGAGAACTTGCACTCTGATGTTACTGTGTAAAGGGTTAGATTAATCTAACTACTGACCTGATAGGCATAAACATCTGCTAGGAAAGCCTGCTCATCTGTCTCTCCTTTCTTTTTACGTTCCTGTTGAACAAACACAACAATCACAAGTAAATTTTATGTATTTCATAATCTGACCCAAATATTTATCATAAAATTACCGAATAACTAACCTCAATGTTGTGGATTAACTCCAAGTACCTCAAGTCCCGCACTCTGATGAAGGCCTGAAAAATGTTAGAAAATAAATTCAACTGACAATCATCTCTGCCTGCTGCTACAGAATAATTCACAATTGTTTAGTTCTTGAGTTTACCACCTTTCTAAATTTCACACTTCTAGCAAATTTGCTGGAAATCAACAGCCAAAGTAAGTACTTGGCACACAACATTGTACACAATACCTTTTTAGCTGTATCAAAATCCAGGCCCTAAAAAGATCATCAAACACATTAATGAATTTCTTTTCACCAAAATGAGACAACGTAATTATATAAGTAGTTAATGGCAAAATATTGCACTTCCCACCACAAGCAAAATTTACAGTTGATTGTAACATCTCTTCAAAGGTCGATACTTGCTTCCACTCACTTGACTCTTGGGGAAAGTTCCCATTACACCTTGGGTAAGTATTAAATAGATCAGTGTCATATACATGTAATTCACCTCCATGGCTTCCATGGCTAGTGCTCTCCAGTCTCCCTCAGTCACGCCAAGGCAGGCAACTTTGTATGCATCTCTGTTAATGTGTAAAGAAAGACAATGGTGAATTTGTGAATATCCTGTGTAGAATACAAGCAACTCTTACGCTTCCCTTGCACTCTCCGACATTCCCACATGCATCCATAACTCAATATACACACGCTAAGCATGGACCATTATTCTTTATTAGCCAATGATCCTGTGGTTGACAGAACTGAGCCATCTCCACTTGACTTCACCCAAATCAATCTGTGATCCTCATCCCCAGACTCCCAAGGTTGTACTAAAGCCACAAAATTTTGCTTATCAAATCTCCACATTACTCGTTCACATACCCATGGGTAAAAAACCAGCTTTAAGGTTCTAAAAGTGGTAACTTAATTTTTGCAAATCATAAAATAAACAAAAAGATCCTTTAAGTGAGTAAGCATCACTGAAATTTTAATAAAATAAGTTTTAAAAATTTTTGAGATTACCTGTATAATTTCTTTTCCAAGTACTGATACATTGGAGCAGACTTAAGCAAAGAGAGAAATAAATTTAACATTAACCCATAGTATCTAGATATCAATCTTACTGGTGCAATCAATAACACAAGCTCATCCAACAGTTTATTTCTTTAATTTGCTCAAAACCTGGCTTTGGTGGTTCTCTTTGAAAAAGTTGCTTGGAAAATAAGTTTTTCCATTAAGAAGCTCCCTCGTTACTTTTCAAAGTGAATATAATTGAAGTCTTGAAAAGAGTTCTGTCATTAGAGGTTTTTTAGAACTGTTTCAAGGGTTTTAATGAAGGAAATAGTTATGGAAGGGCACATTCTATTGACAATAACCATTGTTATATTTCACTACACCTTACCTGTGGCACTTCAACTGCAGACATGGTGTACACGTGAAGACAGAAGATCTTAGATCCAGTAAAACCAACAACAAAACCCTAGCCAGTGAATAAAAATTCACACAGGAGTGATTTCAATGGAAAAAGAGCACTGAACAATTTTTGGACAATTTGAGATTACAATCACAAACCTGTAAAACAAATAGACTGATGCATGTACTTTGCAAGAATAATGCAATGAAAAGGAAGGTCTTCTGGAATATTTGACAAACCTGTAGTTTTTGTTGGTGTACAGGAAAGTTACTGGCCTTGATGTTCAGCATACCACCACCAGAAAAACACAGCATGTCCTGGAAAAAAAGGAAAGGAAAAAAATTCACAAACAGCGAAGGTCAAAACTAGTGTTCTGATGTATGTCATTTATCCAAAATATTCTCTTGAATGTGAAAACTGTGAAAAGACAGGGTTGAGTGTGAGGTTTTTTCTTCATAGCACTCTCTACTGAATCTTGAATTGACAACTGACTGAGCTGGCAAAGCCTTGAAGAGAGAACATAGAGTTTTGCCAACTGCTGTTTCTTCTTTATACTGTACATACTACATGTAGTTTTACAAAACCTCATGCCATGTGATATGGAAACTGTACTGTATTTGGATGGTGTGATATTACCCACAGCATCCTCTGTCAGGCTAAAGAATGTCTCAAATCACAGCCTTTTTTTAAATTTACCATGAATTACCTCATTGTGGGTATTCCAAGCAACACTGTTAGCATTTGGCTCCTGAAAGAGAAAGACATCAAATACTTTAAATTGGTGAACAAAGTTGTACAGATGTTTCTCCTGACCTCATAAATTCACAAGGTCAGATTAACCAGGAAAAAATGTGATTCCTTAGGCAAGCAACATTTGACTGTTCTTTCTCACTAGCACACTGAGAAAACCTTAGACTTGCTACATTTCTATCCAGTTAAAAAGGAGAAGCTAAATTTAAGGCTTTTCCTGGCTTTTCCTGGCAATGAAATTTTCCTGGCAATTGTCAATTAAGACTTTGGGTAGAAATTATTTTACCTGGAAGAGCAGCTCATTGTTATTGAGGCTATACACAAGACAGGTACTGTTTTCATCCACCACAGCTAACTTGGTTCGACTAAAAAGCAGAGCAATAAGGATATGAGATGGAGAGTTTAAAACAATAAATAAATATAGAAACTAAATCATGGTCTAGTTGGATAAGATTTATACTATATGTCTCTTGAGACTATAAGGTTACAATCAAGGATACTCTTTGTTTCTGCAACTCACCTTGAACTTAAATCCAGACAGCGAACACTTGTCTCTTGTTTCAACAGCAACAGGGGGAATGGATTGTTGATAAATATTTTCATGATCTGGCAAAAAAATTACAATAGTTATAACAAACTGTCTAAGAGTCATCATCTCAAGCCTGCTTACTTGTTGATGTCAAAGAGCTAATGTTAAGGACATTGCATCTCTGAAGAGTACAACAGTCATACAACATACACAGTTCAACCATTAAATGCAAATAGCCACCAAATACACCTTATTAGTATATGTAATAACATGATTTCGAGTGCAATTTGGTGATGATAAACATGAGTAAATTTTTCCAGAGACAACAAAATTGCATGAGCCTGTAGGGTAAATGCAATTTATAGTCTTTGATAAATTTACAATTGCTTATTACACAAAATTGCAGGAGAAATCCTGTTATTACTTGCTAATAATGTACATGAAGAAACATCACAGAAATACAAGACAGAAAAAAATTTTGAAAGCAAGTGCGCTATTTTTTAATTTGCACTAGTGTTACAAACTTTGCACTTGTGACACATGAGAATGCATTCATTTTCAGTCAATCAGAGGTATATAATTTTTTTTATTTTTTGTACATTATTGTACAATAATAACACCATTACAGCTCCATGATTATTGTACCTGGCCATTTTTTAAGCCAACAAGGAGACCCTCTCGTCCTGATGGACCACCAATCACTTTGATGTAACGTATCAGTGAATCCATCACCCACTCCCTACAATTAATACAAAAATGAATGAAATAAGTGCAATTGTCACACAACTTTATATGACACCAATACTTTAAAGTCATGTTTATGTACTATTTTCAGATGAGAATACAACTGGCAAACACATTTGCATTGTTAGGACTTAACAGTGGTTAGAAACTATTTTTTGGTTATTGAAAAATGTCCTCATAATAGTCATTTATTCAGCCAAATTACATTTCCCAGCAAAAGACAGGTGCCATCCAATGGTAATCACTGCTGTGCATTATATGTGCAAAGCTCATGACCTTGCTCATACAAAGCATGTTTTAATTCATACTTTAGGTAAAAATGGTGATATTGTCTACAATAAATTATCAAGCTTGCCTCTCTTTGATCCCAGTAAATGCTAAGCATTGGAGTCTTCTCTCCTGAGAATTTAAGAAAATATATGAATTTTCCCTTTTATTTTACTAGTATGTTAGAAATAAAAAAATTCAAATTTTTTTGTTGGATCTTTTGCAAGAGGAAACCTATGACTTTGCAGAAGAGCCAGTCATTATCAATGACCACTGTCCTTCAGCACACATCCTACACCAAGATGCTTACACAAGCTCTTCATGATCAACTGGTCCTCCCTATTAAAACCCATTTACAGTACAAAATCAATGTTGGTTTTGGGAATAAGTGGATACTTGTTAAATTAAGCTGATACATTTTTTTACCTGGCAAAGAATGATGTGATTGGAGCAGGCAACTAGCAGGTTGCATTCAAACTTGCGCTCAATCTTTTCCTGAATTGAAAAATGCAACTGAAGTTATGAAATGAAACAGGAAGACCTAATGCAGTATGTGAGAAGGCAATTTTCTGTTATCATGTTTCCTGCTGTGAAGTCAGTGTGTTAAAAGTGATGCAAAATAAAACATGTTTATCCTATTCTAAGGTCTGTTCAGTTTCCCTGTTACTTAAAAGTGCTGGTAAGTGTGACTAACAACATTTTGGACAAATATTTTAGTTCTCTGGCTTTTCAGCTAAAGTACAGACATTTGAAAACTCAGCTAAGTGAGGAAAATGGCATGTGAACAGATTGAAGACAGTATCATTGCCAATGTGTAATCTTGTCTATGCAGAAGAGCACTAATAACTCTGATCTGTGAATCCATATAGTGGTACTCTGGTCTAATCTTTTATCAGAATTCAATGAATATTAGCATGGCAGAAGAGTTTAACCTACCTTGACTTTATAATGCATATCAGAGATGTCATCTGTGTTCAATTCATAAATAACTATTTTGTCAGGCAGTTGCACCTAAGGCAGTTGAAACAAAGAGAACCCATCATCCATCAATAGTCATTTTTTAAGTGACTAATAGTATCACTACTCCTGCCTAGACGGGGATGCATCTCCCACTAGAGTGGTAAACTGAAATATACTTACAGCAAGTCTGTGTCGGTAGATAGCAATCTTCTTGACTAAGTCTCGACACTTGATACGAACTGTGGAAAAAGAGATCATTGCACATAAATTGATCACAGTCACATGTGAAGGTTAAGGCTTATGAAATTGTACAATTTTGAGTTCAAAATTTTAGTGCCAACCAAAAAAAAAAAAAATGCGACAAAAAAACAAACTTTTAGGTAAACTTTAAGTTAACTTTTTAGGGCCACAAAGAAATTTCCAGGAAAAACCTGCCCTCATTATACTACAATGAGGGCATTTATCATTTTTTTCCCCCAAAATGTAATCTCTTAATTTTCAAATTTGTTTAATCAATCCTTCACCCACCTTTCTGCTCTGTTATCAAATGCTGTATAATAACATCTGTCATGTTGTCTCTGAAGGCATATCTGTCCATGTCAAAGAAGTAATTTGTTTCAAATATTGTTAAACTGTAAATAATCACAACCTATGCATATCAATATCATCATAAATTATTTAATTTAGCTATTTTTATTATAATTACTCATTCCAAGTCCATAGGACATAGAAAAAACATCTTATAAAGAATACTTTAGAGGCTTAATTTGACTGTATTGATCGAAGTAACAGATTTTAGGAATTCTTCAATTCTGATTACACAGCGGTAAGCAAGCTCACCCACTACAAAAATGGTTGGGGTTAAATTTATTGTTGGTTCTCATTCTTGCTGTAAGGTTTGAGTATGACTGACTTTTAGCATTTGTGCAATAACTGCATTATACATGTAAGAAGTAAGAGACTGACAGTCACTTTCTGAGCATCACTTGCAATGATGGCATTCTTTAAAACCTAATAATCTGAGAGATTTTAGTGAACTGCATGTGTGCTTTACAAAACTGATCACTCCCCCTCGCAGCAACTTTGCTCTTTCTGGTCAACCATAATTAAAGTCATTGTATTTTAATACAGTTGTTGGGCTTTAAGACCCAGTATTGGCCAGTATACATTGCGTGCCTCCACTTTTGTTATGGTTTTCAGGAGACTGAGGCTTGCATTGTTTTCCCAAAGCTTGTGGAATAATAAACATAAAGTTAATGGCCGCTGATGGCCAATGCTGCGCACAATGCATACTTGTCAAAACTGGGTCATTAACATGGAATACAGTTAACAAAATGCCTAGTAAATCTCTCTCTTGTTCTCCTACTTATTAGTTTCTACTACATAACTGTAACAGTTATAATTGACACTCACCTGTCTTTGTACAAGCCATGGACAGTACTGAAGATCAGTTGATAATATGCTATTGTTCCATCTTGACATCCCAGTGCCTACAATGTCAAAAAGAAACAATGGCTAATTTAAGGCCCATGTTGACTCAAATACCTTGTCCCTAACAAGATTCTCCTTTTGCCTTAGAACAAGTCATTTGCTGAAATCACTGATATGATTTGTAGTCTGACTTCCCAAATGATAATTTTCAACAACAAGATTCATAGTTCTGTGATGCATTGAGCATTACAATAGACCTATGACAACTAATAAAAGAGTAAAGGGGGTAAGGTTCCAAAGAAACTGTGGTACGGGGTTGATGAGAGAGTATAAAAAAGTAATTTGGTATTATCAACTGAGTTGATGATGTAAATTGGCCACCCTTAAGAGTTTCTAAACTGATGTTTTGAAGCATTAGCCCCTTGTCATGGTCCTGAAGAAGGGCTAACACTTGAAACGTCAGCTTTGAAACCCCCAACAGTGGCCAATTTACCTAATATCAACTCAGTTGATAATACCTAATAAACAAATAAATGTGTCAATTAAAATATTTGTCAGCTTGGTAGGCTGATCTTATCTTTATTTGCCAAAGTTTCAGGGGAACAACCCCCTCCTGATGATGTATTGAAAGGTTCCATAAAGTGTGAGTGATATCCATATACGTTGCCAGCTTATACTCCATCTTTTTGACCCACCATTTCTCAAAATCAAAATTTCTTTTCACAACTCAAATCTCTCTTACCACATAGTTGGAATCTGGCCTTACTCTGCAGCACCAAACCCAACTTTGCTGTTCTCCCACAGATGTCAAAGCCACTCCTTCTTTTGTGTGAAGAGTGCACTAAAAAAACAAAAAGTAAACCACATAATAAAAGACTTGTTAAAGTACAGTACTAAGTATTTTGCTCGTGCACAAAACATTTTCACATGACATTGCACCAGCCACATTGGTGTATCAAAAGAATGAAAAACTCTGATATCAATAAGCTAGATATACAGTCAATTCAGCGGGAGTCAACAGACTCTTCCTTTAGTTTCAATGAAAAATTATTTGACTTTGTATGGTGTGTTATCACTTGCACAAAAAAGCTCTATACTGTCACAATCTGAAAGGATTACTTTCTGAAAGAGATCACCTTTTTCATAGTCTATTGGCATTACTAAAGACAGAATTTTTTTCCAAGATCATCTGTAATGGCTGTTAATTTAATTCCTTTGGAGACTTTTATTATGAATATCATTTGATGAAAAATTTCTCCATTTAAACTTACTTTTTTGTCAGATCCTCCAATAATAAGGTATTCACCCTTGGAGAAAAAGCTTAGACAGCACGGGTCATACCCAAGATAACGATCCTTTCCAACCTTCAACAAAACAAAATGCAATCCTTACAACTGCTCCCTACTGGTTAATAGAAATTAAAATGCATTCATTCTATTATAATAATAATTTCCCTTTTTTTTTAGTACAATAACTGTTATTTTGTCTTCGCATTAAAAGAATGGTTTTGAAGATCACTGAATCTTTTAATGGTAAACACTAGTGATCTTGCCAGAGAATGTACTGCAAGGTGATGACAAGCTGACAATTAACCCGTGAACTCTCATGAGTGACCAAGACAACATCAACATAATATCAAGCAGAAAAGTGATGAGAATAAAGAAAAATACCAATTAGGGGATTATAAGTTGATCAAATAACAAATTCTCCACACTGACTCCACAAGAACTGAATGGTGAACAGTAAGGAGAATTACTAATGAGATCTTGGGAGTTAAAGGGTTAACTAGTACCTGTTTTCCACTGAGCTGATAAAAAGACAGCTTCTGAGACCAATCACCAACAGCTAGAATGTCATAAGGTTCTTCTCTATTTATAGAAAACAAAATATATACATCCTTACTCAGTTATTAGCAGAAGAAGTGATGAGCATTGAAGATTCAGTAACAGTTCTATGGATGACCTTGTGCTCTTAGATTAGGAAAATGGAATAGTAATATTTCAAAATGTCATAAGATTGGAGTTCTACTTACTTGGATGGATTCCAGCTCAGTGTCCAGACAGGAGATCCACCAGGCCTCTCAATCTTCACTTTTTCTTCTCCACCCTGGTCAAAGGTAAAATTACAATCATTGTGACAGTCAAATCAAATTATCATCATGACTTATTTTTCAGAAACTGCATAAAGCCAAAATGGACAGTGGCTTTTCTGGGAATTAACAGGGCTTTAGCAAGGGGAGCCATCCTTTGGACAGTGAAAAGCTCTAATAGCTAACAAACCCAATAACACGGCAATGATTCCCCTTATAAAGACATTTAGACATCTGTCTTTTTGAGTTAACAATAAAAAGGGGAATGGGTGTGATGGAAACACTCTAAAGTTCCAAGAAAATCTACCACACCATCCTGCACTAAAACACATTATATGCTAACATGATGGCAAGCTTTGTGCATGTACTAACACTCTGTACCCACCAGACAAACACCAGCATCTCTCTGTTATTAAATAACTTAGTTAACACATCACTTGAAGTATTTTACAAGAAGAAATCTGAAGTAATGAAACACAGTAAGAAATGCTTACCTTGTTTCTTATGCTGACAAATCCGTTGAAAAGACCAAGAGCCAAGTATTGCCCATCATTTGTCCAACTGAAAACAGTGCATTATTTGCAACTTTTAATTCCTAATAATATATAAGTTTGGTTTGAAATATTCTAGTCTGCCAAAGGATTTTCTGTGTTTATCATTAATTTCCATGCATGGTTACTGTTTTCACCCAGTAGAGGATTACAGTCAAAAAAGTATCTTTCTGTAAGTTTGTAGATCAACTATGGTTACCACTCACCTACAGGCAGTCACTCTAGAGGGAACTTTGTGCTTCTGAACAGACTTTTGTTCTGGAGACCACAGACCTGATAATGAACATTATTAAGTCAAAATGTAAAACCAATTACAGCCACCCACTTTTTCCTAATTTAAAATTGATCTATTCTGACCCCATAGATATAGTAAAAAATGCTTCATTTTGACTTTTTAACTCCCAAGATCCGATTATTAATTCTCTCTTCAACCGTACACACAAAAAATCATATATACGCATCTGACTATCCTGCATCAGAGCATATGAAATTTTTCTGCACAGTTAACGTATACATGAGCAGTACTGTAGCTGCTTGTAAATTAGTTAAAGTTTCCTTGTAAATTAGTAACAAGAAGATGGTAAAAAGAAGGATAGTTTGATATCCAAAGTAACATTTAACAGTTCTATAAGCATTTGAATATAAATTTTACTAAAATTCTATACTTACCAAAATCATTTGTTGTACAGCTTGCAAGTTGCTGTGTGAGGGGATTGTAGGCAAGGCACTGGATAGAGTCATTATGTCTGAAATATTTCACACCATTTAACTATTGATAGCTAGAATTTAAATCTCTAGTTTACAGTCTCAGCCTCTCAGTGTAACATAACTGTGTTCTTTTCATTTAGACAGTCGGAAAATAAATAACTATAGCCACTTAATTTATATCAGACAGCTACAGGTGAGACACAGGAGAACATACGACATTAAAATGTTAAAGTCCCTTGCTCAGTCACGAGTTAACTCTTAAACTCCCAAGATCTGATTGTTAATTCTCCCCTCTAGCTGCTACATATTTCCTTGTAGAGAAGTTACAAGAATTTGGTTTTAGATCAAGATAACAACTTCTATCTGATAAGTTTGAGTATTCCCATCACCTGTTTGCTGGATAATGTCCAGATATCACTAGGAGAAGTTACATGTGAATCACTTCTGGGAGTTAAAGGGTTTAATAACCAATCAAGGAGAACATCATTATTTGAGCTCTCTACACTAGTCCCCTCTCTCTCTCCCCTTTCCCATACAAGAAAGAGAATTTGGAAGGTTGTCAGTCAGTGCTCTGCTGAGGACAGGAAGCAGTGGACTGTGAGAGAGCACAGGTACACAAGCATACACACAAAAAAGTAAGCCAAGATTGAACATAGTCATTTATATCAGTAGACTCTATCCTTGTCATGACTTCTGGTGGGTACCTGCTCAGTTCATGCTTAGGCTCTTAACGATAACACTGATCAGAAGTGACAATGACCACTTACGTATATTTAAGAATACCCTCTAATTTTGATGTCCAGATTATAACACTTTTGTCAGCTCCTCCAGATGCAAATCTTTTTCCTGTAACAATGAAACAAAAGTGTTATGATGTATTCCAGGACAACAGCTATCAACAGTAAACTTGACCTCAGCAAAACTTTAGGGTTTCCAGGTAGTGGTTAAGAAATTAGACTGCTAGCTGAAATTTCATGAAAGGTAGCTCGAAATTAGTATTTGATTTTGAATGTTAGTGTGTAACCTCAGAAGTGCCAGTTGTGCTTCACAGAGCAAACTCACTGGCCAAAAATCTATTGGGTGATTACCACTTTTTTAATTAGCAAATACTGCTAGCAGCAACCCTAGGTTCCTGTGGCTTTTTGGGCAAAGAAGGAATTGATTGCTTTTAAGTTACTTTTTTGGTATAATTTGAAATGAAGAGCTGAAGGTTTCTTTTCCAGTACAACCTGGCAGAATCCTAGCTCATGAGAATGCACACCTTTTCAACATACCATTATCCAATCACAAGCTCAAGAGGAAGTGGCGAGATATGTGAAAGAAATAACAGTCATTCTTGACAGCAAGATTGAACTATTAGAAAGATTAAACTGCTTCCAAAAGTCTTACCCCAAGTGTTGGGAGAAGATCGGAGCAAAACATGATTACTTGACAGAAAAAATGCTTTACTGCTCTCAATGCAAATGTTATTTGGACAATTTACAAACACAAAGCCTCTCACTATTTATTAAGACAAATTTACATATCTTGTGTTCCTTGTATATTTTTTCACAAGTATAGTATAATTTCTACCTTAAGGATCAAAGCTATACCTTGTATCAAAGTGTTCAAGGGCAAGAGAATACTTTACTGATGTTAAAGATAAAGGGGTGTCTGGTATCTGGTGTCTGATGTACATACTATTTGTGCACAAATGAATTGTAAGGGAAATGAACACTGTTTCATACTATCCGCTATTTTTTCTGAAATATGGTCGAAATGTGATAGAGAAATTCAGCATCTACAATAGCACATGTAATTTATTAAAAAATATATAAAAAATACGTATATATAGCTATAGCTTGGATTTACGCTTTTTACATCTAATCGTCTTAACTTATTATTGCTATTTTGGATGGATAATCCTAAATTTCCCTACACCATACTTCTGTAGTTTTTATCAAAAAAAAAAAGATTTTTTTCTCTAAATAATGTGGCTATTTTGGCGATCGAATTGCAAAACAAACATCAAACATACCATCTCTGGAGTATGCAACACAATACACGGTTTCTTTGTGACCTTTGAGGGGCTGAATGAGTGTCCCATCGTTTGTATCGTAAACCTAAGAAGAATTTCCGCAAACGTCACGAAAATATTCAGAATCGAGATTAATTTCAAATCAGAAGACGTAGATTACCAAAACACGGTTTCCAGCGGCAACGATGAGTTGACTTCCATCGGGTTTGAATGCAAGGTCGTAAATGCTGCCATGTGAAAATATTCTCGATCAGAATTGGCACAGAATAAAAGAACGATGTATGCAGATGTAGTAATTCTTACCACTGCTCAACTCTGTCCTTGTCGTGGACTTTATCGACCCATGTTGGTAACGCTCTCATTTTCCACGAAGAAAAACATAAAATTTTTCATTTCCGCAAAGAACCATGGGATGAAAAAGAGAATGCTGCTGCTCGCAGAGTATCATGGGATTCCAAGTTGTTTGTAGTTGCGGGACTAAAGAGACGTTCTTTCCTGTTTCTATCGTGTCCTTTTTTAGCGTAAATATTGGGGATTGTTAATGGGATTTTGAGAAACGCAATCAGTCAAATAGCCTGAATAAGGTTCTTTTGCCGTATATCTGGGTCAAGTGTTATGTATTATGTGGGTCTGTGCTGAAGACCTTTGGCACAGTCTTTTCCTCTACGGACCTCCCAAGCGGTCAATGACAAATAAGTATTTTATTTAACTTAATGATGTCATGTGCTTGTTATTAATGTAGAGGAAAAAAGTCAGCATCATTCTTGGTATCCCATAGATATGAGAAAAAATAGTATCGGTTCAATCTAAGAAAACTGCACTTACTGCGCACGCAAGGGCACATAACATTGCACGCGGTAAAGGTGAAATTCACAGACTCCCCGCCTTGACAGTTATTACACATGCACTTGGGTTTCGGTTTACGCAGCTTAACTCTATAGTCTGGCGCATGATGGGGTGAGGAACCTCCTACAGAGTCAATACTAGTTATTTTCAGCAGACTGCATCTATATTGATAGTCGATGTGACTATTGTAGTGAAACAAGTGGCTACTGTTTGTCATGGATTTTCGTATCGTGCTCATATTAAGCAGGTATTTGTTGATAAACTGAAGCATGCAAATGTCCTTCAACTCCAAGGTAGACTTGCTGACCGATAAATGGTAATGCTGAAGAGCCTCATGGAAGATTCTGCCAAGGTTTTGTCGGGCTTAATGGCTAACCTACAAATCCTGTATCTCTTGTAATAAGTGAGTACCTTTCTTTCATGTTCTAAGATTTCCTCAATGCTGTACATAAAAACTTTGGGTGATATGGGATCGAGCGGAGAGCTTCTGGCGACGTCCTCGGTATGTTTATATAGATGGCTGAAGGGAGTAAGTTTCAAGAGAAACTGTGGTGCTGCGTCGGTGAGGGAAGGGGGGGGGGTGGTGAAGGGTACCCCGCGATAATTTAGTTTTATAACCTGAGTTGAAAATGTAAATTGACCATCGTGAGAGTTTCTAAAGCTATCGTTCTGAGCTTTAGCCCCTCGTCAGTGAGAAAAATGTATGTTTGCATGGTTGATCATTGAATTGGAAAAGTTGATTCTGTGCTGCCAGTTTACTCACTCAAATGACTTTGTTAGCAAGTAAGCATCTGTTTTCTTTCTTGGCTATGTTGTTAAACAGTAATGAAACATACTAAGAAGCCAGGACTTTACCGATATTGATCGGCGCTCATTGCATGGATTCCATTGACAAATTCGATGGTGTAGATGATTCCCTTGTATCGAGAATGGTTCGTAAATGAAGTCCATATCAACTTTTTTTCCAAAACTGCGTATTACACTATAGCGGAGCCCGCAGCGCGCGCAGCGAATCCCAATACCTATCAAAAATGGTAGTAATTACAATATCCCATTTAGCCGAGAAAATTTGGTTTATTATGGAATTCTCCACTCCTAAAACATCTCGTAAAACTGTAGTCTTGTGGTAAGCGGGCCGGATTTTCCCACTCAGGAGTTTATAAATGAATATTAATAAACCCTCACGGAAACTGCCAAATAATTCGTTGAAACCAGTGATGGACAAACGTCCCATCCGGTGGGAACTGGATGCGATTCGCCTACTTTCTTCATGCTATGGAAACCGAAATAAGCTTCGGCGATGTGTAGCACTTTCTATCTGTAATTTTTATCTTTTTTATCGTAGCCTGCAAAAGAAACGCTATTTCCCACTTTTTTTTAAGTCGAGCGAATGCAAGCGCGATGCGAGTGCGAAAAGTGGATCCTCTCGTGCGTGACTTGTGTTTCACGCTCGCTCGAAAAGCACATGCGCGAGAATTTAAGAAAATCTCGCCTGTTCTGTAGACTTGAAGATCAGGTATTTTGAATGGATTAGTATGGATTTTAAAGGTTAAGTCTACAGACAGACAGGCGTGGATTTGGAGAACCTCCAACCATGCCAACCCCCGTCCCCGTCAGTTTAGAACTGAATCAGTCAGTCAGAGACATTTGTGGATATATCTTACCAGAACTTTCGTAGGCCAGGCAATACACTGTATCTCTGTGTCCTTTTAACATATCAAGCAGCACGCCCTCGGCTGTATCGTATACCTAAAAATAGAAAGGATGCAGGCATTAGTCCAGTTTTTGCGCTTAAGGCGAGATAATGAGATTTGAAGTTAAAACAGTCGAGAGGTAAAACAGATTACCAAGGTGATGAAAGTGAAGGGGTCTATAAATCACGCACCCTTGAAAATTTCTCATTCATTGTTCATGACTCAAAAACTTACAATTGATGTTCTGTGTGGTCGACAGTTCCAAACATGAGACATCAGTCATTAGTTATCACCTTGTACGGTGGGGGGGAGGGAGGGAGGGGGAAGGTTTGGGTGGGACACATGGTTTTCAGGGGAAACGGAGGGTGTTGGGGGATCAGTCTTCGCCAACAGAGTATTAAGGGGGGACCATAGAGAACTGACTGTCATACCAATGAACTGTCAATGTAGAGGGAGATCTTAAGATTGTTACACAGCCTTATGGGGGGATAGGATAAATTTTGTGGTAGTAGAAGTGTAGTATATTAATGACCCTCCCTCCCCCCTCATTGGCAGTCAATTTCCATAACCCTATGGCGCTGACTGATCCCCACTTCGTAACCCCTAAAAACCATGTGATCTCCCCCAAAATCCTACGACCCCACCCCCTCCCCCCAGGTGATCAATAACAATTGTTCCTTTTCGAATAAAATCAAATGCGAATAAAGCGTTAAACTCCTACAAGTGACTGATAAGTAAATTCTCCTTACATCATCAAATTCTTCGGTAAATCTATAATGAGAATAAATTAATCATCGGTTTTTGGTCGCTATCTAGTGGCTGAGTGTCTCTCTCTCTCTCTCTGAACGTTTCGGTCTTCTTTTATTGTGACATGCGCATGTCTCGAATGAAGCCAATAAAGAGATGATTACTTAAAAAAAAGACAATACAAAGCAAAATAAAAACAAACAAACAGAAAAAACGGTCGCGCCCATTTTCATGAATAATTAGTGAAGTGCGAGTGAAATTTGTGATATTACTGAACGGAAGAAACAACTATTACCATAATGTGTAAATGTGTGAAATGCAATCAACTTATTACTCCAAGGAGCATCGAGTGTAAAAAATTTCAAAAGAATTTCCGGTTCTGATTGACCCTGCTCCGAAGGCCGAAGGCAAAAAAACGTTGCTGCCATGGAAACGTTTTTGGCGATCAAACGTTCGAATTCGACCTATATAGAGAAAGAAGTTCGGTTGAAATGAAAGCGATCGGAGCCATGGACAGCTTGTAATGTCCATTAGATCAGCGCATTATGGGAAATATATCCTTAATAAATATTTGTTTTTCCTGCGATAGATATTTCCGGAGCTTGGTTCAAAGCGCGGCATGTTTTTAGCCAGGAATAAGGTGACTGAATGAAAAAAAAAAGACGATCGGTTTTGACTCATTTTTCATAAATTAGTCTTCTATGCTAGCATTTCAAAAAATCAAATCGAGCCTGATTTGTTGATGTTTTTTTTTCATCGGAAGCACCAACTTTGTCCAAATTTTGCTCGTAATCGCATCAAGATCGAAAAAGAATAAGAAAGAAAACCGGATAAATGCCTGAGTCCCTAAATGAACACACATACCTCAGGAACGTGAAATAATAGCTTGAAAGATTAACCTTTACCCCCTTAAAGCAATTTATACTTGTGGACAATAAAGTGCGTGTTATTTGAACCTACCATTTCATTTTAAATCTTGTTTGCTGGATTTGAGGTAACCCACAACCGAAAATTGCATAATCCAAGTTAACGTAAGTCATATCGCCCTATAACAAAATTTTTCCTTTTGATAATTCTGTGTACTTTTGAACATTTTCTGTAAAAGAGCCTCAACATACCGGCCCTTAGTTCAAGGAATAATTAAAAACATTTAGGCTATAATCACACTGTATTTCAAACTCGTGGTGAAAGATGTCGTGAGAGCCGTTTGAAACCATTTAGTTTAGTCATGACATGCAGTTGACAAATGGCAACACTTCGCCAAACAAACCATTCTCGTTTGTAAACAAAACATAAGAAGACGGCTTAAAAAGAAATCATCTGATTCGTTTGTAACAACATGAATTACCAAGATTAAGTTTCCAGCAGCAGCAAGGATATATGATCCATTGGGGCTGAAGATTACGTCGTAAATCCTACAAAATCCAAAAGTAAATGTCTGATCAGAAAGCTGTTAAAGTTGACAAAAGCGAAAGCGCCATGCCGTCCTAATTTTCAATGGCTTCCACGAACTTTGAATGGTTTAAAAATTAATCCAATATGTAAAACGCGTAAAACTCACCACTGAACCTGCTTCGATTTATCGACAACCTTATCGAGCCACAGTCTATTAACTCTGGCGAGAGCCATCTCAGTTAGTTGTACTGCGCTTGCTTCGTTCGCAAATCCAAACACTTTATCCTAAAAATCAAACACGGTTGTTTGAAAATTCGTGATTGGTGTCCGTTTGCAAAACTTCATCGCGTGATCAGAGATCATAAAGATTGTTCAATTTTCCAAAATCACGAGTGGAATCTAGTCGAATTTGGACAGGTATTCAATTGATAAGCGTCAGACCCAACTGACATTCCTGATCTCAAGAAATACTCCGGAAAAGATTGCATGACACAAAACTTTACAATGTGTAACTATGTGTCAATAACTTCTTTCAAAATATATTTGTTACATAGTGTCGGAAACAAAGCTTTGTCAGTATGATCTTTGCCAAGATACCCTCAGATAACCTGAATAATAGGCCTCTGCAAAGTAGAAAAACTCCTATTTTGAAAAACACAGTCTTCAGCATAAAACCATCGAGAGTTATGAACAAAATTTACAAAACAAATGGAATTTTTTTGATCGATGTTTCGAACACTTCTGGATTAATGTTATTGACAGAAATATAGCGATCAGTTGATTCTACGCCTAAAATAATAAATTACAGCGAGAAGAAAACTTTTAGAAAAGGGGCAATTGAAGTAACTGATTGGGTTTTTGACAAACTTGAGTTCGCTAAAATGAAATGTTTATGAAACTTGAAGGCGATATGATCAGTGACAAGACTAACAAAGCTGAGGAGTGGGAACGAATCATCAAGTTAAAAAACTCAAAATAAAATGAAGAGAGAATGGTTTCTTGCTCTTCAATTTCCTGTGCATTCCACGCTAAAGCGAGCCCTCAATCGACCTGAACGCAAGTTTGGCCACAGAAGCCTGCCACAATTTGTGGTTCATAAATTATGCTAAACTTTAACATTAAAGAATTAAAGAATTATAATATGCAAATGAGAAAGAATCACGCAATGCAAGAACAGGAAGATCAATATATGGATCATATTTAGTACGTCAAATGTTTTGTCTTCTTACATTTCAGCGTTGAAATGACACGCGCATATGCTCCAAGGGCACAAGGCTATCATTTGTATTTTACTCCACTGAGTATTGTTATATGTCATTGTTGTGTCTATCTACGCTTAAGTTTATCCGGCCTTTTTAGGTGACTCGTGTCCGTAAAATCGAGCGGTTGATTGAGATGTGAATTAATGCATATGCGTGGTGTGGTGTTAATTAATGATTCTAAAAAAAACTCAAATCAAAAACAGATCATGTTTATGTTTTAATCCTCACGCGAAGTGGAAAGGTTTAATTAAGAATGCAAAGTTCAAGTAGAATTCCGCGACGAGTTGGCGGTGATCGAGACAGTGAATCATCGAATACGGAAGCAGAAAACGATGGAAAGGGAAGGGAACGGAAAATATCTCTAACGGATCAGGGGAAAGCAGCGAAGCTACTGAGGCAGAGGTTAGCCTTCGCGTTGGCGACCAACACAAAACTGAAATCGGATTCTAGTAATAGCGAATCTGATCAAGAAATATCTGGTAAAGATTTGAAAACGAGAAGGGAAAGAAAGACGGCTTTCATACCGCGAAAAAACTCGCAAGGTCCTCAACAAACCGCGATAAAACCGCCACGACCACCACTAACAGATGGCGGCGGTATTCCATCCAATGTCGTCAAAAGTCAAAATTATTCAGCGATGAATTTCTCCCTGAGAAGTGGCGTTCCATTTGAAAACAATGCTCAAGTGAAAACTTCGATAACGAATTTACCATTTCCAAGTCGAAAAGAAAGAGAGGGGATTTCATCTTCGGCAAATGATAAAGTTGTTTCCGAGGATGTAATTGATACGAGACGGTCACGAGTTCCGCCTAGCCACGACGACTCACCACGGAACAGTCACGGAAAAGCCACGAAAAAGTCCGAAGACAGTACCTCTTCAACCCATTACAGTCTCGATGTCATCTACGTTATAGAGAGTGAATTAGTCAAACTGAAGGAAGACATGCATCAAACGACGGAATATTTCCAAGAAATGAACGTGTCAACTCTTCAAGTGAAAAAGAAACTTGAAGAATTAAGGGAACTAAGAACCAATTCTGTGATCTAGCAGTTTTCAATTCTAACCCTAGATGACCTGTAGCAAATATCTTATTCCGAACGTTATTCAGATGGGGAGATGAGAAATATTAGGAGTATCTTAAATTGCTACCACTTCCTTGCTATGATAAGTGTGAGCCTACAATTTATGACAGCTTTAAAATGAATTTACATCCTATACTAAGATGCATTAATTTGTATATAACTTATTATTTATTTTTACCACGCTGTACAACTCAGAAACTTTATTCCGCGCTCCCCGACGGTTACACACACAGAATAATGTATCAAACTAACGTGTAAACTTGAGCGAAAAAGCAATGGTCTGAGTAAAAAAAGAAAAAGAGTTTTGTCCAATCACTAGATTAATTAACAATTCCTGTGATTTAGAACGCAATTCACACAACAACCGTCAAATAAATTCGTTATTGCAACACTTAACTCCGTTTACAACAGCATAGCGGTCAGGCGTAGAGTACGCGCCAGGGCATCAAAGGCCTGCGCGCCAATATCTCGCGCAATATTTCTAGGAAAACATGGGAAACAACCGCTGTCTCGCAAAAGAAGCGAAAGAATATTGAGACGTTCATAGAAATCTGTAAAAGGAAACAAAATTAGGAAAAAGGAAAACTCGAGACTTTTGAAACACAAAGCTTATTCAAGTACAGTCCTGTTAATTTACTACTAGAAGCAGGCCATCTGCCAGCCCGTTCTTGCCTAATTTAGGGCTCATCAGAAAGAACGATGTGGTATGTAACCTGATGGACTATCGACAACTTCCTCTATAGCAAGCTACATTACATTCAGATAGCGGCTGGACGAAGAGTGCTTTCATTTTTTATGTATTAAACATAGTGAATATGCTTTGAAAGGCAAGAGTTTTACCACAAGTCATTGAAATTAGATGTGTGAAAGTTGAAACTCACGTTTTCATCATCAGTTTTACTTGAAATGATTCTAAAAGGAGCTGGTAGGCTGGGACGGAAATCTTTAATTAAGTGAAATTTTACAAATTTCCCAAATAAATTTTTACTCCTAAAAGGAGCTGGTAGGCTGGGACAGAAATCTTTAAAAGTTCAAAGTTATTTATTACTCTTTTGAGTGTGCTCTCACACTATAAAATTGGAAAAAACTCGCTCGAGACTTCCTCAACGCTTGGTGGCCACTCCCCTGAAAAGCTTCCTTAGCAAGACCACGTGACAAACACAAATCCATGTCCCTTGTCGTTAAAACAGCAATAGTTACTTTGCTCATCACCAGAGTTGTATGAACCACCTCCACCTCCACAGGAATCTGCGATGTTATCCCCACTAGCGCCCCCTGAGTAGCCGCCTCCGCCTCCAGCACCTCCTCCATTTCCATACGCTCCTCCTCCCCCACCGAAACCCCCATGGGCATTATTGCTCATTGCTCGACCTCCCTCTCCACCCTGAAGGAATCCTTTACCACCCTCTCCTCCAGTTCCGTAGCTTCCACCAAAGTTAGCTGAGCTTCGGCCGCTGGTAAAAAATCCTCCACCTCCTCCCCCTGGGGAAAAACATCGAGAAACCTCGTAATTAACAACAAAGTTCACGTTTTGTCGTTATGTTGTGTTGTGGTTGTATTGGACACTGAAAATGACAAAGATCATCAGCCTACCACACTATGCTTGCTTTAGTATGCAGAGCAGGCGTAATTTTGAAGGCTGGGGAGAGAAATAAAATTTGTACCGAGGGAGCGAGCGACAGACGAAAGGAAAGGGTTTAGGGCAATGAATATTACTTCTCGCCTTTCCCCGCCCCCTCCCCCGACTCTTACTCTAAATCAAACATGGCTGGTCGAATGAAAAATCGCGAGAGACACCTCAAGAAAAGAATCTATAAAACAACTCTTTTGCTTGCTATTAATATTTTAATTTTTTTGAATAATTCCACTTTTACTGTCGCTGCACCTGAAACAAAAAGGCGCAATTTATTTATGCGAAAGCGATGAAGTTTAGATGTGACCATAAAAAACCGTTTCAACAAATTTACATCCCGTCAAATCATTTTTAGATTGAACTTATCGATGGATTCTCAAGTGTACCTGAGTTTCCATTATCAGCGGTGTTTGCTCCATTACCGTTACTTCCTCCAGACCACACGACTGAACTGGAATATCCTTGATTTCCGGATGTGCTTGTGGTGGCGTGACATTGAGTTCTTGAGGACTGCGGTGACTCCCTCCCTCCACCTCCCCCGGCTATAATCAGGGGGGTGTTGTCTGAACGTACCACGAAACTACCACCTCCCCCTCCAGAAGATGTGTAGATATTGATACCCCCTTCTTGGCCAACCAGGATTTTGAGTGTCTCGTCTGTTGTCAATTGAAAAGTGCCGATTATGCGCGCTCCCAAACCGCGATATTTTCCGGAGTTTACTGAATCGTAGCCACCTGTGGCGCCAACTGCTTCTATTTTGTACCGGGTGGTGCACGGTAAACGCCAATGCTGGATCCCCGCCACAAGTGTCACATGACCATCGTGACCCTGGCCTCTGTAAAGATCACCGATCGATGAAGGACCGAGGCGACCGCTGGCTCCAAGATTGGTAAAATTAGCCGTAAAACCTGCACCATGATCAAAAAGTGCAAACATTAACAAACGGATTCCCTATTTACATGTGAATGTTAAGTAACAGATCACAGATCGATGTCCCTAACAGGGCCACGAACAATGGCAAAAATCAAACAGGACGAGACCTGGGAGGAGTATTGCTAAACAGAGTGACTTTCAATTTGAATTAGTTCGCTAAAACGCATTTTCTTCATTTTCAGATGCTTTACGGCTCAGCTTAATTTGAGTTTATGTAGAAGTTGATTTATTTTAGTCAATGGAATATTTAGATAAAACTCAATCGGAATTTTTTTAAAAGAAGTTCTAATTCAACAAAAAACAAGGGCGCGGACTGTTAATAATCTACGTGGTATAACTCCGCTAGAACATCCGTAGACTGAAGTCTTTATAGAAATAAAAGTAAACATAGCTGACCTTGGACAGGACCTCGACGAGAACGAGGCTGTAAATTAAATTAAGAAAAAGCTGTCATCAAAATCATAATTATGTGGATTTCAAAATTTAGACCGTAATTTTTTTAAGCTGTGAGTACACTGAAATAAATGTCCCATGATGTATTGAGTTCACACGGTCGTCTCCTTTGCAGCTGTTGTCACTCAACGCATTTTACACTAGTCACACGTAACCTTTCCAAAAGATAGATTATTTCTGACGTTTGAGCGATAAGGGAGCGAATTAGTCAGAAACTAATATTCTGATGACACGTTGAAGAAGTTCGCGTAGCATCAGGGAGGTTTCGAATTATTTTAAGCGTTTCGCGTGAAAGTTAAGTAATTCTAGGTCGGTCAGTCTTATGTTTGACCACTTTTTTTTCGTATTTGTTGAAATTTTGGTATTCCAACTCCCTATAAAATATCATTACAATCATTGATTTTTCTTTGTAATTAGCAGTGCAACCAGGTTAATTTACCCTTTCTTCGGGATTTTGTGCTGCTGCATTAGATGAAGAATACGTTTCCACACATTTTTTGCTACATCTAAAGAGTGGTTTTTCAGTGGTTTTTCGTATCTGGCGTAACACAGATTCTTTTTGTAGAACTCCTAGTTTCAGTGTGCGCATGATAAGATTTTATCTGGATACGAATACTAGAAGACTGACTGACTCATCCTAAATAAACTTTTCACGTTGAATGTCTCGTGTGAGTGTAGTCAGAATTTAAAGTTTTTTTTTGCCGTAAGTGAAGGATAAATTATGAGAGAGAACAACTCTCAAGGCCACTTTCACTTGAGTGCAAAATTGCAATGAGTGAACTTTTCGCCACAATATTTTCTACTTTTACCTTTTGTAGAATTAAACGCGAAAAAAAATTGGGGGTTTCTAAGAGCCGATTACCTCATATGGTTGAAAGTAAATGAATCCTGTTTTGTTTACAAGAGCCACAGGGTCTGCAGTTTTATTTTTACTGTTTATGTCACACGTATGATTGGTTGTCCCTTCCATCTGGTAGTTGTAAGATTGACACCTTGAGTCGGTCATACAATAAAAGGCACAGTCAAGTGATGTAGACACTTGATGAGTTTGCGCAATGTGGCCTCGAAGGTAATGGTCTGCAAAATGAAATCAGATGAAATGAACCCAAATTAGTTACTCAGTTTGTAGTTAAATGGAGTTTTTGCTCTCAGGGCAAGGTGTTTTGAGCGCAAAGTTCTCAGCATCACATTGTGCATTCTCACTGCTGGTAGTTTCTCATTTGGGTACTGTACACACGGTGAAAATATAGCAGATTTTGTTGTTGAAGCCAATGACATAACAACGCATTAGAACACAAAAATCACATCCAATCCAATAAAAGTTGGATTTTTACTTCAAGCATGATATCCCACTGACACAATTTCATAATTTTATAGACCAGCGGTGAATAACAACAGTAAATAATATTTAAAAAAGCAAGAGATAAATAACATCACGAATTATTTTCTACTTAGGCACCATGCAGATTCATTTACTTGCAAAGCCTTCAAAATGCGTTTCCTTAAATCCCTGCACAGATGACGAAGAATCCACAAAGATGGGAATGAAACACAAAAAAACCAAGAAAGCCACGCACATCCTGGCTCCTTTTTGTGACATCAGTTGGATCATTACTGAATCAAGCTAAATAGTAAAAAAAGTTAAAAATTTCTTACCAAAACAGTAAAAAGCTTTCATCCATTATCATAAGGCTTAGGAAGACAAATTGAATTCAAATATTAAAGACAAAGATGCTATAATTGAGGAATGTTTCATAACTCCTTAAATTAGTAAAGGGAATTTTTCGCTAAAACTTATCTCGTACAGGAAAACAGAAACGAGAGTTGATATAGGAAGCTATCAAGCAGAAATTCTGTACCTAACCTTAATATGATTGAAGCGAGCAGCTCTTAAAACATCACTAACCCCATTTCATGAAAGACTACGATGGAACATCCCTTTTGTTCCTAAACCGAACCTTGAATATAAAGACTTAGACACGATAGTTACTGCAGCTATCAAATTGAAACACAAAATCAAACGACGCAAAATGAACGACTCGCTGACCAGAAGGAACAAGTAATTAACAGCTTCAACTTATTTTAGTCATAAATGAAAGACATTCAGTTTTTTTTATGACTACTAACAAAAGGCAAACCAAATCAAACTCCCCTAAACGACTTCAATACTGTAGCTTGGCAAAAGCAATTGACACCTTTTTTTCACTAAAAAGACAAAGGTAACAAAGATATTTGGTTTCTTACGAGATGCCTGTATTGCTATTAGAAAGGCCATGCGGTGGATCTCGTCATAAGGAAATTGTTTGAATTGCGAAATTACCAACCCCATGGCATGATATGTCAGCTTTTCCATCCTTATCCTCTTCAAAGCAATAATTAACATTAGGAAAAAAGGTAAAGAAATGGAAGACCCTGGAATATCTGCTGAGATGCAGTGTTTTCTTCAAACATGTAGAAAATGAGAAATTTCAGAAAAAAATTTCTCTCTGGCCAGCACGCGTAACAGTACAAAAAAAAATTACCATCTTTTTTTATTCTTCTTCTGTTACGTGCGAGAAATGTTTGGTTCAAAAGGCCGATATACAAAGTTATACCCAAAATTAATACGCAACTGTTTACAGTTAGCACTCTGCTCATTAGATGGAATGTTTACCTGTGCTAAATTTTGGTTATTGACTATCGTTGTCGTCAAACGTTGCTCTCAAATCGATTTCCCCTTAAAAAGTTTGGAAATTCCAAGGCAGCAAAGATGGCTGTCTCCTAGAGATCAAATGCAAGCCTTCGAATATCAAAAATGAAAATCCATACTCCGCTTTAAAAATGTACTGTTCAATATTTAAATATTTTATGAAACCCCTCTTAGCATACCATCCGATCAGATTCCCATCAAGGTTTGCCAGTTTTTATTGATACTCAGATTATCTCGTCATTTCTTTTAACCTCTGACTTTGCAAAAATTACGAGAATACGACAATAGAGGAAGCATTGTTAGAATGAAAAACACCATAGCTTTGAGAACGTGCTTATTATCCCACCTTGTGCCCCGAAAATAACGATTATTGGCAAGTATATTTTTCATTAACACAACCTTTTTGACATCCGCCACCTACCTTTCTAATTTCACACCCAAAGCAAACCTCGTTCGCCTCGAAAAAAAAATTCACGAAATAAAGTAATTAAAGGACCGATGTGTGTGGTTAGAAAAGGTTCGAATGCTCCAATATGTGGTCATTGAAAATTTTTTAATATTGTTTCCATTTTGAGTAACAACTGGTGCCTTATTGATGGCATAAGTCGGTAAATATTTGTACGGCAACATGTTTGGAATAAAAGAGGACTTCTTTACATAGAATTACCGACATTTTATCCTTAAACGGTGCCGAGAGTTGCAAGCATCACTATTTTCAGAAATGAAAGAATATACCAACAAAATTCCTAATAAGAAACATGATGAAATTTGATTATTTAAGAAACACTTGCCTAAACACATAATTTCGTTTCGGATTCAAATTCAAATATATTCCGAAAAAACCAATCAATACTACAAGACCATAAATTATTTATCAGATACCGTGGAGTTGTTTTAGGTTGTACCATATCACTACTAAACTTTCAAATGACAGCGAGAATGTTCAAAGGAAGTTCCAAATTTCAAAAACAAACTCCCTTATTCAGACGAGTGAAATAAGTTAAGTATATTCATCACATGCATATCAGCACCATTACAAATATTGGTCAAATCTTCCAAGTCCTTAGAAAAATTACTATTTGTTAAAATTTGGGCATGGATACGGTTAGAGTATAAAAACTGGGACTGGTGCTGAATTTTGATGGATAGGAAATGAAAAGTTATTTTCTGGGGTAAAATGAGTTTGCAACCTCTAACGTTTATCGTTAACACAAGCCTTGGCCACCCTATCTGAGAGACTACGAATGCAAAGCCTGGTCAGTGACAAGAGATGAGATTTTCTCAAGTAGATATCGGCATTGATAGGCAGTGAAATTATAAGGAAAAATGGCAGCTAATTACTAAAAATCAGATCGAAGCGTTAGTGGTTCAAAAAAACCAAAATCAGATTTCGGATATAATGACTGTGTTCGCCGGTTTGTTTTCTTTCTACTAAAACATTAGAAAGGAAAAAAAAAATAAAAAGTCGTTCCATTTTTTGTGGCTAATTTTACAATTCTGACTCTACCAAACGACTACAAGATAGATGTTGGGGAGGCTAAACAATGTTAACAATAATTGACTTACTCAGAAAGTGTCCGAATATGTTTTCCAGCACCTTCGATCTGTTGCCACTTAATAGTTGAAGAGCAAGTCGATGGGAGAGCGCGTCAATATTTACCTTTAATTAAGTGCACACGTCAAGCAATAATTTAAAACATGTAAATAATTAAAAAAAGGTTGACGAAACATCTTTTTAGATAGATTAATAAAGCCATTCCCGTATTCAGCTTCTTCCCTTAACGATCGAAAAACAACTAAAAAGAGGTCTGCTTTCAATTTGAGAGGTATTGTCAAGTTATACAAAGCATGAAGAGTCCTTAAAACTATAATAACATATAAAGAAAACAGATGTCCCCTATCTTTATTTTGGACGCGTTTCGAACGCGTTTGTATTCTTCGAAAATAAAAAACCAGTTTAGAAGCGCCCACATATAATGCATGCTTGTCTTTTTTCGGTTTGAAAAACTGATTTTCTCTTTAAACTATTCATTTAAGGCGCGTGTTTGGCTTCCTTCAATGCATGAAACAAAAACGTTAGGATCAGATAGATTGTAGGTGATGTTGTGCAAACGCAAATTTCGACAAAAATAAATTGAGAACAAGCATGATAATTGCTTCTTAAACTTTGGACAGATATATCAGCTTTCTTGATGTTTTTATTTCCTTTACATAGCTTTAGAAATTATGACGCCAAATTCCATCTTCCATTCCAGCTAATAAGATAAAGACGGAATGATTGACAAAGAAAGTGAATCGGTGAATGGTTTCGGTAAAATAGGAGGCGAGTCCGGAAGACAAGTGGGGGGGTGGGGCCAAATTGTGTTGGGTATATGCCGCTGTCCTCTCAGAACGCCTACCACATTATAGTCCATTCTTCAGCAAATTATGGACCTCATCTTATTAATCCTTTGGATAAATTCAATTTTCGCGATCGCAACTTTGTCAAGAACAGAATATAATGCAAGCGGATTGTTAGACATTAAAACCACAGCTCGAAATACGGTGAAATTTTTACCGAAAATCTTGTCATTTTTAAATCCCTAATTACATGATTTTTCTTACCCCCAAAGAGCGAACCCTCTCTAGTAATTCTACAGAAAATGGAAGCCATTATAGTGAATATAGTCATAGTGAATATAGTCTTTGTGGTATAATGCCATAAATAATTCGATTTGAATTCAGTCTTTGTAATAGTTACATCATTTAACACATAATTATTATTTTCTATCTTGTGGCTTGATGTTGCATTTTTGGGAGATTCTAACCAAATTTGTTCATTTCGCTCAGTTAGGTACAATCATTAATTCTTGTTAATCTGCTGATTTTTACGGAATAGCCCTTAAAAAGAAAAACTCGTTCAAAAAGTGTTTTATTACTTTTTAAGTGTGTTCTCTCACTATACAATTGAAAAAATTCGCTCGAGGCTTCCTCAACGCTTTTGGGCAGCTCCCCTGCGAGGAAACATGCTGAAAAGCTTCCTCGGCAAGACCACGTGACAAACACAAACTTATGTCCCTTGTCGTTAAAACAGCAATCGTTACTTTGCTCATCACCAGAGTTGTATGAGCCACCTCCACCCCCACAGGAATCTGCGATGTTATCCCCACTAGCACCCCATGAGTAGCCGCCTCTGCCTCCAGCACCTCCTCCATTTCTGTACACTCCTCTTCCTCCACAGAAACCCCCAAGGGCATCATTGCTCATTGCTCGACCTCCCTCTCCACCCTGAAGGAATCCTTTATCACCCTCTCCTCCAGTTCCATAGCTTCCACCAAAGTTAGCTGAGCTTCGGCCGCTGGTAAGTAATCCTCCATCTCCTCCCCCTGGGGAAAAACATCGAGAAACCTCGTAATTAACAACAAAGTTCACGTTTTGCCGTTATGTTGGCCACTGAAAATGACAAAGATCATCAGCCTACTACACTCTGTTTGCTTCAGTCTGCAGAGCAGGCGTAATTTTGAAGGCTGGGGAGAGAAATAAAATTTGTACCGAGGGGGCGAGCGAAAGTAGAAATGTCACTCTATGCATTCTACACCAGGCACACGGAACCCTTCCAAAATATTGGTAATTTCTGACGTTTGAGTGACATGGGAACGACTCAGTCAGAAATTGATGTTCTGATGACACGTTGAAGAGGTTCGCGTGGCATCATGAAAGTTTCAGATTATTGAAGCGTTTCGTCGGAAAATTAAGTAATTCTAGGTCAGTCAATCTTATGTTTGACAACTTTCTTTTTCTTATTTATTATAATTTTGGTGTACCAACTCCCTATAAAATATCATTACAATCATTGATTTTTCTTTGTGATTAGAAGTGCAACCAGGTTAGGTGAACTCATATATTAGAGACAAAGATGCTACAATTGAGGAATGTTTAATAACTCCTTAGATCAGTAAAGGGAATTTTTCGCTAAAGCTTATTTCGCACAGAAAAACAAAAACGAGAGTTGATATAGGAAGCTATCAAGCTGAAATTCTATACCTAACCTTTATACAATTGAAGCGAGCAGCTCTTAAAACATCACCGACCCTTTCCATGAAAGACTACGATTGAACATCCCTTCTGTTGCTAAACCGAACCTTGAATATACAGACTTAGACATGATAGTTACTGCAGCTATCAAATTGAGACACAAAATCAAACGACGCAAAATGAACGACTCGCTGACTAGTAGGAATAAATGATTAACAGCTTCAACTTATTTTAGTCACAAATGAAGGACATTCGGTTTTTTTAATGACTACTGACAAAAAGGCAACAAAATCAAACACCCTAAACGACTTCAATACTGGAAATTGGCAAAAGCAATTGACACTTTTGTTCTGTTTGATTGTTTGTGCGCGAGACACGAAGGCCACAAACAGAACAAAGAAAAAACAGTGCGCGAGACACTAACGTAACAAACAGTCAAACACAACACAGCAAAAACAGTGCGCAAGGCTCTAATGTACCAAATAATCAAACAGAACACAGAGAAAATAGTGCGCGGGACACTAACGTAATAAACAATCTAATAAAATACAAGAGAAAACAATACACGAGATACTAACGTAATAAAAGGAACTCAAAGAAAAATATGCGCGAGACACTAACGTAGCAAATAGTCAAACAGCATTCAAACAAAACTTTAATGAAAACAGTGCGCGAGACACTGAGTATCAAATAGTGAAACAAAACTCAAAGAAAAATGTGCGCGAGACACAGATGTAATAAACAGCCAAACAGAACTCAAAGAAAACAGTGCGCGAGACACTAACGTAACAAACAGTCTAACAGAACTCAAGGAAAACAGTGCACGAGACATTAACGTAGCAAAATCAAACACAGCTAAGAGAAAACAGTGCGACAGACACTGACGTAACAGACAGTCAAAAAGAACTAAAAAAAACAGTACGTGAGACACTAACATAACAACAGTCAAACAGAACACAGAGAAAACCGTGCACGGAACACTAACGTAACAAACAACCAAACACAACACAAAGAAAACAGTGCGCGAGGCACCAACGTAAGAAAGATTAAAACAGAACACAGAGAAAACAGTGTGCGAAAAATTAACGTAACAAACAATCAAACAGAACTCAAAGAAAACAGTTCCCGAGATACTAACGTAGCAAACAATCAGTCAGAACGCAAAGAAAAATATGCACGAGACACTAACGTAACAAACAGTCAAACACACCTATAAGAAAACAGTGCGCGAGACACTGACGTAACAAACAGTCACACAAAACATAGAAAAGACAGTGCGGGAGGCACCAACATGACAAGTAATCAAACAGAACAATAAGAAAACAGTGCACAAGACACTAACGCAATAAATAACCTAATAAGACAAAAAAAGGAAAACAATGCAGCAGACACTAACATTACATACAATCAAAGAGAACTCAAGGAAAACAATGCGCAAGAAACTAATGTAAGAAACAGTCAAACAGAACTCAAAGAAAATAGTGCGCGAGACTCTACGGCACAAACAATCAAGCAGAACTCAAAGAAAACAATGCACGCCAAACTAACATAACAAATAATTAAACAGAACTCAAAGAAAGCGGAGAGCGAGACACTAACGTAACTAACAGTTAAACACAACACAGAGAAAACAGTACACTAGGCATTAAGGCAACAAGAAAACAGTGCACGAGATACTAACGTAACAAACAGTCAAATGTAATTCAAAGAAAACGGCGCATGGGAAACTAACGTAACAAAAAATTAAACACAACACAGAGAAAACAGTGCACGAGGAATTAACGTAACAAAGAAACAGTGCACGAGACACAGACATAAAAAACAGTCAAACAATGAAACAGAACTTAAAGAAAACAGTGCGCAAGACACCAACGTAGCAAACAATCAACTACAAATCAAAGAATACAGTGCGCGAGACACTAACGTAACAAACAATCAAACAAAACTCAAAGAAAACGGTACGCGGGACACTAATGTAACAAAAAGTCAAACAAAACTCAAATAAAAAAGTGCACAAGACGCTAACGTAACAAACAATCAACTAGAAATCAAAGAAAACAGTGCTCGAGACACTAACGAAACAAACAGTCAAACAGAACTAAAAGATAACTGTGTGCAACACACTAACGTAACAAACAATGAAACAGAACTCAAAGAAAACAGTGCGCGAGAGACTAACGTAACAAAAAATCAACTAGAACGCAATGAAACAGTGCGTAAGACACTAAGGCAACAAGAAGTTAAACAAAACTCAAAGAAAACAGTGCGCGAGACACCAACATAACAAAAAGATAAACGAAACAAACAAAAAAGAGCGAAAGACATTAACATTACAAACAGTTATACAGAGCTCAAACAAAACAGTGCACGAGACACTAACGTAACAAATAGTTTTACAGAACTAGAAGAAAACAGAACACGAGACACTAACGTAACAAGCAGTTAAAGAGAACTCAAATAGAAAAGTGCAAGAGACACGAGCATAAAAAAATTTAAACAAAAATCAACGAAAACAGTGCGCTAGATAATAACGTAACAAACAATCAATAGAAATCAAAGAAAACAGTGCGCAAAACACTAACGCAACAAACAGTTAAACAGAACTCAAAGAAAACAATGCGCAACACACTAACGATAAAAAAAAATAGTACGCAAGACACTAACGAAACAAACAGTTTAAAAGAACTCAAAGAAAACAGTGCGAAAGATACTAACGCAAAAAACAGTCATACAGAACTCAAAGTAAACAGTGCGCATAACACTAACGTAACAAAACAATCAACTATCAATCAATGAAAACATCAAAACGTAAAAACAATCAGTGCGAAAACTAAAGTAACAAACATTAGCCAGGTTACTTCTACAAAATCGCTTGGTGTGATTATAGACGAACATTGTCAAAAATTAACAGAACTCAAATCCCAGCATCGACCACATCTGCTTTACCAAGCATTACTGTGACATTGTCTGGGGTACGGTAACAAAACAATCAACTATCAATCAATGAAATTTTTACTGACAAGCCAGCAGGAAATGCCATGGTTTTCAAATGTCTGCACACTAATATCTTAATTCTAAGTTTAGATGGCGTAAATGACCTCAGGGACTCTGAAAATAAACAATGTTCCTCTAGCTAGTGGAACATTATGGAATAGTCTTCCATGTGATATAAGGAACACAGAGTATTTAAACGCAAGATCAATGCACACTATAACGCACATTCACGGAAAACAGCTTTTAGTTATTAGTTAGTGTTTTAATTTTTAAATAGTTTTAGTTAATGTAATTGCTGATGAATTGTTTCGTGCTTAAATAAAGATTATACATATACACACATTAAACTAGAAATGTAGGGGAACAATGCGCAAGACACTAACAAACAAACAATCAACTATAAATCAAAGAAAAGAGTGCGCAAGACACTAACGTAGCAAACAGTTAAACAGAACTCAAAGAAAAGAGTGCACAAGACTCTAATATGACAAAAAATCAACTTGAAGTCAAAGAAGACTATACACAAGACACTAACTTAACAAACAATGAACTAGAAATCAAAGAAAACAGTGCGCAGGACACTAATGTAAAAAGTCAGTCAACTAAAAATCAAAGAAAACACTGCGAGACACACTAATGTACAAAACAATCTCCAAGAAATGAAAAAGACAGTGCGCAAGACACTAACGTAACAAACAATCAACTTGAAATCAAAGAAAACACTACGCGAGACACAAACATAACAAACATTCATCTAAAACTAAAAAAACGATGTGCATGACACTAACCTAAAAAATATTAAACTAAAACTAAAAAAAACAGTGCGAAAGACACTAACGTAACAAACAATCAACTACAAATAAAAGAAAACAGTGCGGAAGACCCTAGCGTAACAAACAATTAGCTGCAATTCAAAGAAAACAGTGCGCAAGACACCAACATAACAAACATGCAGCAAGAGCTCAAAGAAAACAGTGCGCAAGACACTATCGTAACAAAAAATTAACTAGAAATCAAAGAAAACTGCGCGAGACACTAAAGTAACAAACAATAAACTAGAAATCAAAGAAAACAGTGCGCGATGCACTAACGTAACAAACGTTCAAATAGAACCTAATGAAAGCAGAGCGCATGAAACTAACGCAATAAACAATTAACTAGAAATCAAAGAAAATACTGCGCAAGACATTAAGGTAACAAACAATCAACTACAAATCAAAGAGAACAGTGCACAAGACACTAACGTAACAAACAATTAACTACAACTCAAAGAAAACTGCGCAAAACACCAACGTAACAAACATTCAACTAGAAATCAAAGAAAATAGTGTGCAAGACACTATCGTAACAAATATTCAACTAGAAATCAAAGAAAACAGTGCGCGAGACACTAATGTAACAAACAATCAACTATAAATCAAAGAAAACAGTGCGCGAGACACTAACGCAACAAACATTCAACTTGAACTGAAAGAAAACAGCGCGCATAACAATAACGTGACACACATTATACCAGAAATCAAAGAAAAAAGTGCGCAGAACACTAACGTAAAAAACATTCAACAAGAACTCAAACAAAACAGTGTGCAAGTCTCAATAGTAACAAACAATCAACTATAAATCAAAGAAAACAGTGCGCTAATGCAACAAACAGTTAAACAGAACTCAAGGAAAACACTGTGCAAGACAGTAACATAGCAAACAATCAACTACGAATCAAAGAAAACAGTGCGCAAGACCCTAGCGTAAAAAACAATTAACTACAACTCAAAGAAAACAGTGTGCAAGACACAAACATAACAAACATTCAACAAGAACTCAAAGAAGACAGTGCGTAAGACACTATTCCAACAGACAATCAACAAGAAATCAGAGAAAAAAGTACGCAGAACACTAACGCAACAAACAGTTAAGCAGAACTCAAAGAAAACAGCGCGCAGGACCGTAAAGTAACAAACAATTAACTACAACTCAAAGAAAAAAGTGCACAAGACACCACCACAAGAAACATTCAACAACAACTCAAAGAAAACACTGCACAAGACTCTTTCGTAACAAACAATACAATAGA